CCAACGTGGTCGATCTGCATAAAATGGGGCCCTACTACTACGGGCTTGGCTCCCAGCTCCTGAATTTTGACAATCCCGAGAATCCCGAGATAGCTCAGACTATCCTGCAGGCCAGTATCTGAACTCACTCTGGAGATGTGGCTTTACGTGTTTTTCCATCTTCCTCTTGATCCCAGCGGCTCAGCAGTCTTCAGGAAAAATAACCTGGTTTTAATCCACAGGACTTCTGGATCGAACATGGGTTTCTAGATCAAGCTGTAGGATGACCCTTTTGTCAGCTGCACAGGGTGGTGGTGGAAGCCTCAAGTACGCATCCAGGAGTGTAACTCTGGCTTGGAGTTTCCACACTGTAAATGTGATATTTCGTAAAATCCTATAAAGCAGGACTAGAGGAGACGTAAGATTATTTAATCGTGCCTGTGCTGCAAGGCAGAATGAATTCACCCTCTATTATTTCTGTTTTTCTGCCCTGTTTTTAAAGCTCTTTAATGACGAGACTTCAGACTGCTCTGGGCAATGTGGTTCAGTGTTTCGCCATCCTAATCTTAGAAGGCTTCCTCTAACATCTAAACTAAAGCTCCTTCACAGCGTTACAAGCTCTGTTCTGTTTGTCTTGTACAAAGTAAACTCTGAGGACAGATTATTCTCTTCCTTCCTGCAGCAGTCCCAGTTCATTTGGTACCTCTTCATGGGTCATGCTTTCGGACCTCTGATTGTCCCTATTGTGCGCTGCTGGTATCTTTCCAGTTGGTCTGCAGCCACTGTGACGTGCAGTGCCCTGAACAGCGTACAGCCTCCTGCTCGGGACTTGCGCTGGTGAAAACAAAATGATTACTTTGTGATTTTTGTAGGCCATAATGCTCCCCGCTCATCATGGTGCACCATCTTGTTTTTCACGATAGAGTGACATTGATACGAGCTCGGTTTGCAGCCCACAGTAAGAGGGTACAGATTGCATACACCGACAGTCTTACCCTTGTACCGTTCCCTATTTCTGCCTTAACATAAAACCTTACATTAGTCCCAGCTGAATTGCATCGTGTTGTTTTCACACCACCTTTCAAATTTATCAAGACCATTATGAATTAGGAGTTCTGCTTCCCAACAGGCTTGCAGTTGTCCCTCCTCCTGCATGTTGTTGGCTAATTTAATGAGCATCACTTCTGTTCCTTCAGTAAGCTTATTAATTAATATATTAAACAGTACCTGGTTTCAGATAGACCCCTCTTCACCTCCACTCGGTGTGTTCTTCCCCACTGACAGGAGCTGTGGGTTATTGCCTTCACTGACCGCCTACGGGCGGTTTAGGTAAATCTTGCAAGGATGGCCCGTGACAGATAGCGATCCGCTGCTTTTCCTCCCTGTGCAAGGCCTGGCACCCCACTACGACAGCAGACTAGGCTGGTCCCTCAGAGTTGGCTCTTGGCCAGTCTGTGTTGACTGTTACTCTTCTATTTTCTTGCAGAACTTGAAGTATAGTTTATTTATTCCAATATGTTTCCAGGAATTGACACTGGTGGATGTATAATTCCTCGGCTCTTCCTTCCTCCCTCTCCATCTCCCCTTTCTCTTTTGAAAGATAGATCCCATCTTTGCCAGTTTCCGGCCTTCTGTGCTCTTTGAGCTTTTAAAGATAACCACTAGCAGCTCTGAGATTTCTTCAGCCAGCTCTCTAAGTAGTCTGGGATGATTGCTATTGGCTTTTTTCTTTCTCTGTTCTGCAAATGAAGGCTGATGCAGAGAAGCTTTAAAGCACTGCTGCTTTCTGCGAGTTGTCTGCTGAAAGCTTGCTTTCTGCAGTGAGGAGGTGACCACACCTTTCCTTGTCTTTTCTCTTTCTGCTAATGGACATTTCAGGAAAAAAGCCACATTAGCACACAATGCTTGTTGACAGTAAAATCAAAGTACGCAAGGTGTGCTTTCTCCTTATTAAAAGAAAGCAAGAGGGGAGTTGTGCTGACTTAAACAAAACACAAAAGAAAACCCTCTTCCAAATACTCAGGAGGTATGAAAGTGAAGTGTAACTATTTGGTGGCAAAGCCAAAATGAGAGTTATTAATTTATAATATATTTATTCTGAAAGTAAATCTCTAAAGTACTACAGTTCTGATCATTCTAAAATCAGCTTCTGAAATAATGAAACACAGTTTTCAAAGAGTTTTGACCCTTTTTTTGTTTTGTTTTATCCTCAAAAGCAAAGATAAGGAGGGAAAGAAAAATCCTTAAATAAGTCTTGTTGCTTAGCTTTTTAAGGTGTTATTTATTAGCTGTATATTTGGGGTTTTTGACTTTTTTTGTGGTTAAGTGTTTTTTCAGCATACTGAATGCTTTACAGTGGTGGCTTGGCTTATCTTCCAGGCCGCTCACAAGTTGCAGCTTGTATGTTCCTCCAGCAGCTGCTGTGGCGTGAGATTCATTCCACCCACTCTAAAGCAATGATTGCTGGTGAAGTGAGGTGGAATGGGTCGTAATTGTATTGTACCCTGCGGTCTGCTCAAGCCTGTCATTAGGAAGCAGCTGAACTCTTCATTCCCTGCTTGCTTCCCATCCAGTAAGTGTGTCAGGCACTTGCTCTGCCAGCGCAGGCAGGAAATGCTTTGTCTTTGTATCCAAGGTTAATAGGTATTATTATTATTATAAATATCTTTGTGTCCAAGGTTAATAGGTGCTACTGTTTGCAGAGCCTTGGCTGGTTGTGAACTAGAGCCTACACCTTTGGCTTTTCTGTCATGAAAGCTCGTGCGTGCATCTAGCGTTTGAGCTGAAGAAGCTTCTGTGCTGCCTGTCAGTAATTCTGCTTCTCTTCTTCAGACGTTTGTTAGCCGTTTTCGGCGTATCATGGACTCCTCTCAGAACGCCTACAACGAAGACACGTCAGCGCTGGTGGCTCAGCTGGATGAATTGGAGCGCGCCTTATTTCGAGCTGGCCAGAAAGGGCTGAATGACTTCCAGTGCTGGGAAAAGGGACAGGCTTCTCAAATCACAGCTTCCAGTCTGGTCCAGAATTATGGGAAAAGAAAGTTCGCAGACACGGATGGTTAAAAGCCTGAAGAACATGCAGCTACAGCGGGGGACACAGAGAGATTTACAGTCTGTCTGCCGTGGAAGAGAGGTGAATCATCTTTGGGGGAGGACAGGCTCCCTGTCCATTAATGGGAATTCTCTCGAACATCTTTGGATTAGACCAGTGCAAATTTTAAAGGCAGATAGCAAGGGCATAAAAACTAGATTGCATCACATCGCTGGGTAGCTTTACAGCTTACTCATACCACTCCTCAGGATTTGCAGTTAGTGTTTGCTGGGTGGCTGAAGGATTTTCTAAAAGGGTAATTAATATTTATAATTCCTTACCTTCCAAATAGATCTTTACAATACCGGATCTGTTTGGAAGAAAGTGTAATTCTTTGTATTTCATCTTGCCCTTCCCATTCCAACCTCCTGGGAACTGCTGTTTCCAGGTTCCCCGTTCTTCTGAGAGCCCCAAGGATGTGGAAATACAGTCTGGTACAAACCGTGCTGAATTTTTCCCATTTTGTATACATTAAGGTGGAACAAGTGCTCTTTGTGAGGCAGGAGTGGTTTTCTTAGCTGACTTTTGTACACAGTGGTAGTGCCCCAGAGAAAAATGCCTCCTCTGGCCCATGCAGTGAGTGAAGTGGCCGTACAGGCCTTGCGTGCTTCCTCATCCTCTCTCTTCTTTTTGACCCTGGCGGGCTTGGTGCTGCATGGGGTGGAGGATGTTCTTGTTTGATGCGAGTGGCTTTCTGTGATGGGTGTTAAGCTCCTCCACTTGTTTCACAGAGGAGGCAACAGAAGGTAACAAAGACCTAGTCCAGACCGGATCAGAAGCAGCAACTTTAATGGAAATTCTCCCCATTATCAACCTGTGAGCCTTCTGCTATCCGATGAGAAATTGTTCTGATTACTAAATTTGGTTAATAGAAGGGACGGAGCCAATGAACTGAGTTTTCCTTCCTTCTGGTCCATCTAAATGATCCGAGCAAAATCATCCTAGTTAATGTCATTCTTGCCAGTAGGAGTGACTGGGGTTGGAACTTGCTAAGCAGCACAGTGGTTATCATCCCGTGTGGATGCCCTTAAACTTAGATTATCTGAAGTCCCATTGGATTGGAGACAGAAAGCGGATAGTTATCTCTGTAGGACATAGTTCCCGCAGTCACCAGGATGGTCGTCTTTTGGAAGCAGGTATTGGACATCTTATGGATGCTTCTAAGCATCTGTAGAAGGTGAACCTTGCAGCGTACCTAAGTGGAGGAGCCAGGCCGTAATGATACTGAGAGCTTCCTCTGCTGTAGGAATCGCTGGGAGGTGACAGCGAGATCCAGATCTTGAAGGAGTTGTTACTGGACTTGCAGATGCACCTGGATATTGGAGACTTCAAGCTGGAAACCTCAAGTCCAAAGGGTGCGTGGCCATTCCTTGGCCAGAGGAGTGAGAAACCTCAAGTCCAAAGGGTGTGTGGCCACTCCTTGGCCAGAGGAGTGAAGGCTCTGCCTGGGGAGGCAGTGAGAGGGGATGGTGTGCTGGCATCACGAGCGCCTTGGCATCTCCGCCTCAGCTGCACGGGGCCGGCTGCCGTGCCGCAGGAGACTGACAGGAAGCTGTGCCTCACAGAGCATTCCAAGTACATGCAAGATCAAATGCTGCGGCACTCCATGACTTAGTGGCACATAATAGCCTGTGCATTTTCATGAAGCTTTTGTCAGTTGTCTGTTTCTGGATTTTTATGTTGAATAAACATTTTGTAAGGGGATGCTTGTAGTGTGAAATGTCTGTTGTTAATTGCCCTGCAGCGGAAAAGTTAGTCATAGATCGGAAAGCAGAGGTCTCTGCAAAACTGTGGCCACGATAGATAACACAGTCCTGCTTCTATCATTCCCCTGCTCTTCCAGGTCACGCAGTTGGGAGCTGCATGCGTGCAGTCATCTGAGTGTAGAAGTAGTTCCTGTCTGACTCGGCCCATGTGGGTAACAGCTGCTGTTTGCTGAAGTCGTGGAAGAGACACTGCCATCCAATCAATACGCGATTGATTTTATAAATTGCATTATTATGAAATGCAGGATGGAGGGAGGTGATTCTCTGTTACCTTGACTTTGTTGTGGAGTGGTGGGTGGTGGGTGGAAATGGGCTGTCTCTGTTTTCGCACCCTGCAGCTCCAAGCACGGTAGCGTAGACTTCGTGTAGCCTCTCAAGGCTGTGTTCAGTGCTTCAGCTGCAAGGGAATCCCACACAATCACAGGATGGTAGGGGTTGGAAGGGACCTCTGTGGGTCATCTAGTCCAGCCCCCAAGTTGGAAGCAAGTCCATCTGTGATGAGAAGCATTTTTGAATTGGAAGGGTTATTTTAATGAGGGGGTGGCTTTGAGATCTAGTTGGTTTATAACCAAAATCACCAGTCCGTCAGTTTCCGGGCTGGTTTTAGTGACATCCAAACTCATTTTCCTACATTTGTAAGAACATTTTCTTCTCTACTGCTGGGTGCAAAATGCAAGCAGACAGTTGCTCGTTTGCCAACATTTGGTGCAGCTACTTTCAGAGTGGGGAGAAAAAAATCCCTGAAGTAATCCTCAGTGGCACTGGCTTTTTGTAAGTAGGCAGTGCCACTTTTGATAACCCTGAGTGTTTGGGAATAAACACCAGTAAGACCCTTAAAAAATCTGATCCTGTAATTTTAAATTACGTTATTTGGTTAGTACGTTTGATATTCTGTAGATTTTTTTTTTCCCCCTTGCTGGCTGGAATGCTTTTTTCCTACAGCACAACAAAAGAGTGCTCTGTACTTTTTATGAAAAAAAAGTCCTTTATGATTTATACAAACTGTCCTTTATGATTGCACTGCAGCAAGCTACAGGTTCGAGGAGTTTGAATTTGTGCATTTACAGTACGGCACAATAAATCCTTGTTACAGAACTATACAGAGTAGCTCTGAAAAGGCATTTAAAGTGTTTTCTCCCCATGTCTCTCTGCTTTTAAACTGGAGGACTACTGCTGTTTATGAGAAAGCAGTCCATAGACACATTTAACAGTATTGCCACAATGGTTTTCATTGCAATCCAATAAAGAACAGGCAAAATTTGATATGCTGATTAGTTATGCGTTCACATAAGAATATTTGTTCGGGTTTTAATGGCCTGTTTTTGAAAAGAAGTATGTGCTGGCCTGGCCCAGTCCTTCCCCTAAAGTGAGGAGTGGGACTCGGTGATCCCTACGGGTCCCTTCCAACTGGAGATACTCTGTGATGAGCCCCATCTGACCCACCTCGGGATGGTGTTGGTCCAGCCATGCCTTTAGAAGCTGCCTCTGCAACAGAAGCCCCGGCCTCCCGAGGCAGTCTGCTCCCGTGCCTGGCTGCAAGGCACCATAACCAAAGCTGGAGCTGCGCATTTACTGAGACAGCCAGAGACAAGGTCAGTCGAGCTTCCTGGCAGTGAATTCCTGTCGGAATGGGTAAGGAAACAGAAACATTTTCCTCAAGGTAAGTTTTACATTAACTTCTCGTAAAACTCTAGGCTCTTCTTCTTTATCTCTTCTATGTATTTTTTCAAGCAGGTGATTAACTTCTCGTAAAACTCTAGGCTCTTCTTCTTTATCTCTTCTGTGTATTTTTTCAAGCAGGTGAGGCAGCCGTGGAAGGTTGACCCCCAGTTCAACAGAAATATCTCTGCAACCAGAACATGCACACTTTCTCACCGATCTGAATTACCCCGTCACGAAACGTTCAGGTTTCTGCCTTGGTCTCCTTTGCTTCCTTGGTTTGTCCTCTGGCTTTGGTTTGGATTTGGGCAGCAGAATGAGGCGGTCGATTGCTTCTGCCAGGCTGGAAGCGATAGGCGGTGTCGTGAGGAGCAGCAGAAGGAAAGGTTTTGAGAACACACATACTGTAACACCACGTATTATTTTTATGAGAGCAACAGTGGCACCTAACTGAGCCTTTCTGATCTTCACTAGTGATTTTTCTACCTATTTTTCTAGTGACCAGCTATTACAATAGCTTCATTCAAAATTTTGATTGAACCAGTTGCTTAACGTAATCGGTAATGGCAGAGTGTGTGTGAATGCTTGCTTCCCACAGAGCTGCTGCTGTCCCCAGATGTGCTTTTTATAAAACACATTGTCCAGTAGCCCAGCATATGTCTCAGGAGTTTGTGGTTTTATTTATAAAGCCAGCTGTTCATCTAGTGCTGCCTCTGCTTGGCAGGAGGCAACTCAAAGCTGTTCCTTGCCTCAGTTTCCTTTTCTGACAGATGAAGGTAACGCTCCCTTATTATGAGTGCATTCTGTGCTCTGGATTGTAGGCAGTGTTTTTGTTACAGCAGATATGCCAGCCAGATTTTCCCAGCTCTGCTGCATCTGCCAGAGCTCAGATGCTTACTTGGGAAGGGCTAGTCAGAGCTAAAAGATTCCCCTTTTCAGAAATCGCTCTGTTTTCCTCGATCAGTCCCGTTAAACCCTTACTGCTAAGCTTCTGCAAGACTGCCACATATCTGGTAACTTATAAGTGCTTTTCCCACTCTCCGCCCTGCTCTCCTACCTGAACAGCCGCTTGGCCCTGCAGAGAGCGGCCGAGCGGGCTGTCCTAAGCCCACGTTTCTCCTCTGTCTTCCTGATCTTACCTGCTCAGAGCTGCTTCCACCAGAGCTGATGGCAGCCGGAGCATTAAATGCTGAATGGAACTGTTAGTGGAACTTTGTGCAAAAACTGGTGGAAGGATAACGGATTGCCCTGGCTTCATCATTTCACGCGAGTGAGTAATGAGGGAAGGCCGTGCACCCTTCCAACCTATGTCTGATGGTTTTGCTTTGCGAGGCTGGCTTTGGGAGCTCAACTCGAGTGGGTGTAACGTGCTGATGAGGCAATGTGATTCAAGTCTGCGGCTGTGCCAGTTCAGGCTTCCCTTGAAAGTGTCTCCTGGGTGAAGATCATCTGAGTACTTGCCTTGAGTTGCATCTTCCACCGCAGTGTTGCTGACAGGTGCTTCTTACATCTAGGTCCAGGGGGGCTTTTGGATGTGGGGACAGCCT